ACACACACACACACACACACACACACACACACACACACACACACCTCTGCAGCCGCTCATGCAGCCATTCACTTGACCTCTCGACAGAATGTCACATAAGTGAGTTGCTGGACAGTTTTAACACTCCCTCAGATTTTACATGCACACAAACGCCAGTAACAGGTTTTATCTAACCTGCTATCTCACAAATACAAAGACCCCCAGCTCTGGTCATTCCTCGGGGGCCAGACACAGTATCGTCCTTTGAGTTGTTCTCACAAGACGGGAGAGACACAGGACAGGTGCAGAGAGGCAAACCTTTTAACCTGAAGAAACCGTTGAAAGAAGCTTACATCAATTTAAACCATTCCTTCGGTTTTTAACTCAGCTTAAACTGTGCATTGAGGATGACTCTAAGCTAAAATTACTTAAAACCTGTTACTTTTTGTGGCGGCCATCTTGAATTAAGTTCAAAGGTTAATGAGCCTTTATATAATAAGAGAATATAAGAGAAGACGCCAGAAAAGAAACAAAACCAGCAGACCAATCGTTTAGAAGCAAGTTCATCCAACAATTACTTTCTGAACGTTTCATTAATTTGTCCAGCGGTTCATGAGATATTTTGCTAACAGTGCAGACAAATAAACGGGGCAGGAACATCTTCGCTGTGTCGTTGGCGATAACTAACTAGATTAAAGTAACAATGAGTCTCTGCAGAAAATGAAAGCTGCCTTCACGCTTCTCCCAGCGGCGTGTGCATCTGCCAGATAAGGGGCATTAGCGGGGTGTGTTCAGGGTGTTGTTGGACACCGCTGGCACCAGGACACATGTGCACGACTCAGCACTTTATCATGGCCATGGTGGCCTGACAGGGTCACGCAGGGAGGGGGCGCTTTAGTGGCACTAACTCAGCCTGTCAGGCTACTGCTGCTGTTCTATGTGCTAACAGAGGTGCTGCACAATGGCTGTATGTGCGCGCGCGTGTGTGTGTGTGTGTGTGTGTGTGTGTGTGTGTGTGTGTGTGTGTGTGTGTG